ATGAACAAAAGGCCTGAAGTCCCTCTACAACGATCGACATTTATCAACGTTCATAGAGTCTCCGGAGGCCTGTTGTTTAGGAAGCGGATGCCATGCCTGCATTCTGATACAGCTCACAGAATGAAGTAGTTCTGTAGTTCTGTCTCGTGACTCAATTATTTCACGTCAGGCTGTGGACATTTAGGCGCTCTGGGCTCCTAGTGGTAAGAAGTTGCACTGCAATCCCAAAGGCATGCGGTTCGAGGCTGTCTGCCAGAGAAGAATGGGCAATCGGAACTAGAATGCAGTTAATTGCATGGGAGACCAGCCGGAAGGTCAGCTTGTGACCCAACTATTTTGTGCCTGGGGGTACATTTAGAAAATGCAATAACTCAAAACAACTATCATCTCACTCCAATAAGAATAGCAAAAAATTTAACAGAAGAGCAAACATCATATGCTGGCAAGGTTGAGGAGAAACTGGAACCTTTACTCACTCTTGGTAGGAGTGAAAAATGGTGCAACCACTATGGCAGGCTGTATGGCGCTTTCTCAAAAAGTTAGGTAGAGAAATACCATTTGACGCAGCAATTCCACTACCGGAAATCTACCATGAAGAAACCATAACCGCCACCCAAGCAGATATATGCACAACCATGTTTATCGTGGCTTTGTTCATAATAGCAAAGAGCTAGAAACAACCCAAGTGCCCATTAAAAAAGGAATGGATAGAGAAGCTCTGGTCTGTTCACACAATGGAGTACTATGCAGCCTTGAAAATTAATGAATTCATGCAATATTATACAAAATGGGTGACCCTGGAGGACATTATGCTGAGTGAAATATCTCAGTCACAAAAGGACAAATATTGCATAGTGCCACTGTTGTAAAACAAATTGACATCAGAGTTGACGGAAGACAGAGGAGGTGATGAATGATGTATATTGCATTGAAACAGATGGGGGAGAGAACTGTTTAAAAGGGATCTATGATTAGGTATTATTGTCATGACAGGAGTCCAGAATGAATGCTGCACAGTGGAGTGGACTTGGGGGGAGGGATTGTACAACAATGAAAGAGTTTTTCTTTTACTTTTCAAGAAGGAAAGTGAATTGGGGGAGGGGCGGGCAGGGAGAAAAGTGCTACAATGAATGAATGGAAATCCAAAATCTCTGTAAACTTTCATTAAAATTAATTTTTATTTTTATTTTTTTATTTTATTATTTTTGTGTGCATGTACCATCAAATCAGATCTGACTGATACAGGAGGAGATTGCCCCTCCTTCCCCGGCAGAGCATCTGGTGGATTCGCACCGTGCACCTCTGGGACTGTAGTTGCAGCTTCTTGCCACTAGGCCACCTGAGCTCCCCAAAATTAATTTTTAAAAAAGGATAAAAAAGAAAATGCAGTGGCATGCACGTGTTGAATTGACACCTGGGAGCTACCACAACCGGCCTGAGCATATCGGAGACGGTGAGCACGGCACAGAACAGGACAAGGTGGTGATCCGGTGGTCATAGGGTTCCTCAGAGTCTTAGTGGACTGGACAGCACATAACAACAACATATGCAGGCGTCCAAGGCAGCGTGGATCACCAGAAGAGGGAGTGAGACTCAGCTCAGGTGCCCATGACGAAGAGAAGGACAAAGCAATGGGATTGGATGGTGGCTCCTTCTAGAAAGTTCTGGATTAAAAACATTAGCTTGTTGGTGTTGTTGTTATGTGCCATCGAGTCGCTTGAGACTCATAGCAACCCTATGTACAACAGCCCTAAACTCTGCTCTGTCCTGTGCCAATTGCACTGTCTCTGACACTCCCATCCCGATTATCCCAGTCATTGAATTAATCCACCTCATAGAGGGCCTTCCCCTCCTGTGCTGTCCCTCCACCCTCCCAAGCATGATGTCCTTCTCCAAGGACGGGTCTCTCCTCACAACATATTCAAAGTATGTTAGACAGAGCCTCAGAATCCTTGCCTCCAAGGAACTACCGGATTTAACCCTTTCTAGGATGAATCTGCTTCTTTTCCTAGCAGTCTATGGTATTCTCAATACTCTTCTCCAGCACCACTGCTCAAAAACACTAGCTAGAAGAACATAATTCAGAGATCCAGAAGACACCATATCGAGGGGAGGAGGGACACTGACCCTGAGACACTGTTGAAACCTTACATGGAAGCAGGACTGGCATCCACTTCCAAAATGGCTTGCCTCCAGAAACTCTGTGAACAGTGCTCAGGCCTTTCGTTCATAGGGTAGCTATGAGTCATCTAGGAACCAACGGCACCTAACAACAACGAGAGAACAATGTTGGCCTAGTGGGCAGAAACTTATGTTATTAAGCCCAAGGAGGGTGATTTTAATCTGCGGCCCTGAGGCGTGGTTCAAATTGGTTTTTGTCTAACATTCTTCTAGGTGGTACAGCACTGGTCTGTGCATTGCTGTACAGAGGTAACTTACAGTTGCTGTGATGCTAAACACTGTGACATTGATATGCCAAATGCGATCATGGTTACCCATGGTGGACAGTGTTTGGTGGAGCTCCCTGATTCAAACAAGCTTGGAAGCAGGAGTGGCATCCACTTCCGAAATGGCTTGCCTCTGGAAACCTCTATGAACAGTGCTCAGGCCTTTCGTTCACAGGGTCACTCACTATGAGTCGTCTACGACTCAACGGCACCTAACAACAACAACAACAACAACAACAACAACAAAGAGCCTGGGAAGATATTGTCCTCACTTCTCCCTCGGAGCTGCTGGTGGGTTTGACCCATCAGAACAGTGCCACGTTGGGGCTCCCAGGGCGACACTTCTATGTGCATCAGGAAACCAAAATGTTAACGTGGCTCATATTATTGTCATATTCACATTGAGGGATGGTCTGGGACAGTACTCAAAAGATCTATGAGGTCTGCCTGCAAACTGCATGCTAAAATAGCCCCAAGGGGTATCATATATTTACCCTGGAGGGGGAGAGAGAGAGAGAGGAAGAGAGAGAGAGAGGAAGAGAAAGAGAGAGAGAGAGGGAGAAAGAGAGAGGGAGAGAGAGAGAGAAAGAGAGAGAGAGAGAGAGAGAGAGGAGAGAGAGAGAGAAGAGAGAGAAAGAGAGAGGGGAAGAGAGAAAGAGGAAGAGAGAGACGAAGAGAGAAAGAGAGAGAGAGCAAGAAAGAGAGGAAGAGAGAGAGAGAGGGAGAGGAAGAGGGGGGGAGAGAGAGGAAGAGAGAGAGGGGGAGAGAGAGGGGGAGAGAGAGAGATCTGGGTTACGTGGAAGCTGGGTGTGGAATGTCCCGCTGGTATAAGTAGTGCTATGACATGTCCTGTTGGGGAGAGTGAGAGGTACAGGATAGCCCTCTGGCTGGGTTAGGGGTGGAAGAGTCATCAGCTGGGAAAGTGAAGCGATGGGTGGGTCTGTCAGAGACACCGAGACGGGGATGGGGTGGGGGTGGCGACGTGTCCATGCATCTAGAGGCAACGGGCACCAGGAATGCAGAACAAGAGAGCCCCGGGTCTGCTCGCAGAGGTCTGTTCGGAAGGGTCCAGAGGTCACACTTGAGGGTGGACCTCAAGGGAAGCTGTTCTCTCCAGGGTCCCCCAAGATGGGAGTGAGTCTTCCTGGTGTCTGAAGAGCAATCTGATTCTAGGAAGCCACGCACGCCCTTCCTCCAGGAGCACAGGCCGTCTCAGGGTGCAGTCTTTTCTAGGGACTATGAGCGATCTGGGGGTACAGGCCACAGCTAAGGGCGGGGTACAGAGTGACCTAGGAGCACGGCTTGTTTCAGGAGGTGCAAGGCTGAGCGTAGAGGGTCCAGATTTCTCTGGGGACACAGGTCCTTCTGGGGGTACAGTATAGTCTGGAGGCCCAGACGGAAGTTGGAGGCAGAGGCTGGTTTTGAGTGTGGGCTATTACGAGGTGCAGGACTTTCTGGGGCACATATGTAGTTGTGAGGTGACACGAGATCAACGGTGGCTCACAGTACCCAGCCCCGTCGGCTGCCCCCGCCCCCATCTCCCACATGCTCCCACCCACCGTTACTGTCCCTATGTTTGTCTGTCTCATGGAGGGCCTCCCCCTCTCTCTGACCCTCTACCTTGTCCAGGGTGCTGTCTTTCCCCCTGAGGACTCATCCCTCCTGACAACGTGCCCCAAAGTGTGTGTGACGAAGGCATCGGCGCAGGTCTAAAGGCAGGTCTGGCTGGGGTCACGGGCTGGACAACCTAGAGAACAGGTTGACCAGGAGAACAGACTGACTTGGGCTTATAGGCTGGTCTGGGGCACGGGCTTACGTAAAGTCTGGGCTAATCTAGGAGTGCAAGCTGGTGGAAGGGGGCCAGATGTTTTAGGGTGCAAAGCACAGGCTGGTCTAGGGGGTCGACGCTGGCCTGAGTGAGGCTGTTAGTGAAGCTCTAAGCACAGATAACACGGATTCTCAGGTTCTCTCAGGTAGACTAGCTGGGGACGCATGTCAACACGTGATCACACAGCTTGATCTGGCCACAGGCTCTTCTCGGGGGCACAAGCCTTTGGAGCCCAGGCTCTCTCCGGGGGTACCTCTGTCTCTCTCTGTGGCTGTCTTTTGGAGATCCTGACTCTCTCTGGGGAACTTAAGTTAACCCTGGGGGTATCAGTTGTCTGCTGGGCCAAGCCCTTCTCTGGAGACACAGTAACAGCTCCTTCCCCGGGACCCAGGTCCTCTCACCCTGTCTTCTCTGACTCAGCTTCCCCCCTTCCTGTCCTGGGCCCCCAGACCTGGGCCCAGGGCCACCCTTCCTGTCTGTAGCCCCTAGGCCCTCTTGCCATGTCTTCTCAGGCCCAACGTCCCCCCTTCCTGTCCTCACCCCCCAAGGCCAGGGCTCAGGACCCCCCCTTCATGTCCTCAGCCCCCAGACCCAGATCTAGGACCCCCCTTTTCTGTCCTTAACCCCAAGCTGGGGCCCAGGACCCCTTCGCCCTGTCTTCTCAGGCCCAGCCCCCCTATTCCCGTCCGCACCCCCAGGCCCGGGCCCAGCACGGTCCTGCTCACCTCCGGGCAGCTCTGCGGGGCCACAGGTGTCCCTGCTCACGGGCACGTCCGCCTGCCACAGGCGCTTGGTGCACACCTTCCACAGCCCCAGGTGGGCGGCGTCGCAGATGGCGCTGCCATTGAGCTTGTAGGTGTTGAGCTCCACCCAGAACTCGGTGCCCACGGCCAGCACGGCCAGCGTGGCGCCCACGGCGGCCAGCAGCAGCGCCAGCTTGATCCTGCCCTCATGCTCCGGGCTCAGCCTGGCCGCCTGCTGCCCTCGCCGCAGGCCTGCGCGCCGCCGGCCCTCCTCTTGCACGAAGAAGTTGGACCACATCATCATCTTGGGGGGCCGTTCGGAGGATGCAGTGGATGAGAAGCGCTCCGGGGCTGGGGCAGGGGGCAGCTTGGGGCCTTGATGGGGGTGAGGGGCTCAGTTCCCACGAGTTAGGAGAGAGGTAGGGAGTGAGTCCTCCCTGGAACTTTCAGACAAGGTTTTAGGCCTTAAAAAAGGGCCAGGCGAGGGCCCTTCTGAGATGTAGAAGAAAACAAACAAACAAACAAACAAACAAATCCCGCTGCTGGGGACCCCCTGAGGTTCAGAAGAGGGGCTGAGACACCCCGGGAAATCAGAGAAAAAAATAAATGGAAAAGCAAGGTTTTCCCTGAGGCTCAAAGAGGAAATACTGAGGGATTCCTGTTTGTGGATACTGTTTGGGGTCCCCCTTCATAAAGGGAATGAGGTTTTCTCAGGTATTGGGACTAGACACTCTACTAGAGCTCAGAATTTGGGGTGTCCAGCAAGGGGGAACTGAGGTCTCTACGTTTAGGTGGAGAGGAGGGAGGCCAGGCCTCCCCAAGCTCACAGTCTCGGGAAGGGGAAGGTTAAGTAGTCTAGTCTATGCTGTTCAGAAGGAGGAACTGGGGCTCCCAGGGGAGCCACAAGGCAGTCCCTGGTTGCAGAGAAAGAGGGAAATCCTCTAGAATTTCTGGAAGGGAAATTGGGGTTCTAGAAGGTGAACTGGAAGAGGAAAGGGGCTGGGGTCCATAGGGTCCCACTAGGATTTAAAAAAACAGGGTGGGGGTATGCCGGGCCATTTAGACACAATAAGGTCCCCCACGGGGGCCGAGAAGGAATATTGGGCGCTAAGAAGGAGTAGAAACCATGAACAGGGAGCTAGGACTCAGAGGGGGACCCCAGGTCCCTATTAGGCTCAGATAAAGGGACTGTGGTCTTCCCCTAGGCTCAGGAAATGGGGGCACAGCACCCCAGGATTCAAAGAACAGCTGGGACCTCAAAGAGACAAGGACCCCCCCCTTCAGGGTCACCAGCCCATCCCCCGGGCTCCCAGGGCCGGCCCAGCGGGGACAGCGCCAGGCTCAACTCCCGGCCGGGGGCCCCCTCGGGCCGCCCCCTCCCCGCGCTCTGGGCTGGGGCCCCTCGCTGTCCTGCCTGGGACGCAACCCTAGCTCCCCGCGCTGCCTCCTACCGACCCACCGTCCAGCCGCCGCCGCCTCCTGCACCCGGGCCTCGCCCCCACCCGCCCGGGCTATTTCAAGCGTGACCCGTAAATAACACCCGCACCTGTCGCCCCGCGCCTGTTGCCATAGGGATCCCGGGTATTTTAAGGGGATGAGGGGGGAGGAAGGAGGTCCCTAGGGGAGGAGGGGCGCGGCCATGCTGGACGGACAGAGTTCTGAGAGACTTGAACTTCCTAAAGGGGCGAGGTCCCCGCTGAAGGGTCTCCCGGGGCTGAGGCCATGAGGCAGGACCTCGGATTCTAGGTGGGGCAGGCGGGCCTAGGGGTCAGGACTGAGGGAAGAGGGGCTGGGGGTCAGGACTCTCAGGTCTAAGAGAGGAGGGGCTGAAGGTCAGGACTCCACGGTCTGAGGGAGGAAGACTTGGGGGTCAGGATCCCAGGTCTGACAGAGGAGGGCCTGGGGGTCAAGACTCCGGGGTCTGCGGGAAGGGGGCTGGGGTCAGGATCCCAGGTCTGCAGGAGGAGGCCTGGGGGTCCACACCCCCAGGTCTAGGGAGGAGAGGCTGGGGGTCAGGGTCTCAGTCCTGCAGGTGAGGGCCTGGGGGGTCTGCACTCTCAGATCTGAGAGAGGGGACCTGGGGGGTTCTGCGTTTCCAGGCCTGAGGGAGAAGAGGCTGGGGGTTAGGACCCTAAGTTTGTGGAGGGGGCCTGGGGGTTTGCACTTTCAGGTCTGAGAGGAGAGGCTGGGGGCCTTGGACTCCTTGGTCTGAAGGAAGAGGGCCTGGGGGTCTGCACTCCCAGTCCTGCAGGAGAGGGGCTGGGGGGGTCTGCACCCCCAGGTCTTGAGGAGGAGGGGCTGGGGGCCTGGACTTCCACCTCTGGAGGAGGAGGGCTGGGGCTGGGACTCCTAGGGGGCCCTGAAAGAGAAGGGGGTAGAACCCAATCCCCTGTTGTGGGGCCCGCCAGACACATGAACCATAGCAGCAGTCCTCTTCATTGAGTTTATTAGACGGGGCGCCCCTGGGGGACCTTCCATGCAGTTCAGTGCCCCCAGGGAGAGGGACCGGGACAGCCGTGTGACATGGACGGCGGGGCCTGATCTGCAACCCCTCACCCTCGCCCTCAGCCCTTTTATGAACAGCCCTGGTGGGACCCACCTGTCACGGACGCCTTCACCCTGGACAGCCTAGCCCCTCTGTGTCCACCTGCTCTGGAAGCTTCCACCGAAGTACACGGTGCCCTGGACTTTGTGTTTGTGTCCGGCTTTTCCACCAGCCAGGAGAAGGACCACTAACCAGTGTCCCCAGCCCTGAGCAGTCCCAGGGCCTTAGGGAATGTGCATTAGTGAAATGAGTGAGTGAATGAAGTGAAATGGTGACCTGCAGACAGCCCCTCGAAACCAGGTAAGGCCCCTCGAAGCCAGGTAAGTTCCCTTGAAGTCAGGTAAGACCCCTCGAAGCCAGGGAAGGCCCCTCGAAGCCAGGGAAGGCCCCACATAGCCAGATAAGGCCCCCTGAAACCAGGTAAAGCCCCTTGAAGCCAGGTAAGGCCCCTTGAAGTCAGGTAAGGCCCCTTGAAGTCAGGTAAAGCCCCTCAAAGCAGTGTCCTCCCTGCTGTCTCCACACCCCTTGCTCTGTATTCTAATCCTCTCTCTTCTCCCCACAAAAGACAAAGATGAATACAGCTCTGAAGGCAAATGCATGCATGAATGAAATGTTTACTTTGCCTCCTCACTGGAATTTCCCAGGTCTCAGCAAGATCCAGAGGGCCATCCCAGAAGCATGGCCCATGCTGGCAGCAGCAAAGGACCAAATGGGGGGGGGGGGGCTGGACGGAGCAGCCAGGGGCAGCCCACCCGAGTCCCTCCTCCAAAGCAGTTGCCCCACTCCTTCCCACACCACCTGCCCCACGCCCTCTGACTCACACTCCCTCCTGCCCTGGGTCTCCCCTCTTTCTCAATCCTGCCAACCATCACAGCTCTTGAGTTCCCAACAGAGCTGCAAGGATGACCTGGAATGGATCTGTGATCACGAACGGAGCCTAGGACCAAGGCACCATTCTGTTCTGTTGTATACAAAGGTCACCATGAATCCTGGCCAATGCTACCCAATGAATAACAATGCCATTTTCCACCTCCCCAATCTGTAAGAGCTCACATCTCTCCTCTGTGTCCGCATGTACTCTTCCCATCTTCTCCCAGCTAACTTCCCTTTCCAGCCCTTGCCAGGGGGGGCACACATCTCTGAGGATGCACTAAAATGCCCCCTCACTGACACTGCCCACATGTCCTCAAGCCGAACGCTTGTTCTGTTGTTCTTGATCTTCCTCCAGCTCTCGGCAGCCTGGAGCACGGCCAGGTCCTCTCTTTCTTGAAAACACTCTGTTCTTTGGACTCTGTGACTCTCCCGGTCCCCTGCCTCCCTTGTGGTCACTTCTCTTCTGTGGTTGATGCCTCCACAGCTCTGGCTAGAGTCCTCCTAGGTCACCTCGTCTGGTCTCGTGGCTTTAAATGTCCTCTATACGCTGACGCTTCTAAGACTTGAATTTCGAGCTCTGACCTCTCCCCCAAAAGCCACTGCCTTATGCATCCAGCTAGAGACTTGATACCCCTACTGGGATTTCTCCCAGCTATCTCCAACCGGAAGGGCCTCCAGGGAAGAACTCTAGGCCCCTTCCCACCCAAATCTGATTTTCTTCCCCATTTTTCTTGTCCTGGGCATCACACCAGCACAGACGCCCAAGTTGCCCAAAGCTCAGTTTAAGAGTTCCTCTCCACCTTATCTTGGCTTCCCATTTAATCTCCCACTACTACATTCAACCCACCAGCACTGTAAAGGTCTCTGGTGGCTCTTTGGTTAAAGTAGGTGGCTGTTAACCCACCCGCTGCCCTGTGGGAGAAGGAGAGGCAGCCTTTTCCAGTCTCAGAAGTCCTATGGGGGGGGGGGTGTCATCTTAGTCCAACACAAGGTGGTCAAGGCCAAACAGCCTTGACAACCCCAGTCTGGGTTTGATAGGATCGACCTCCAAAAATTCTACATTTGCGTTTTCATTTCTCCTCATTCCCACTGGCATCGCTGCCTTGGTTCAAGGCCTCATCACTCCCACGTGGACAAATACATTTCCCTTCACTGCAGCCTCAATTCCACGTCTGCTTCCCAAAAATCTATCCCCAGTCCCTCCGTGTCACTCTTATGCACAAGATCTTCCAACAGCAGCTCATTTCAGAAGACTCAAAGCCCTACTTGACTGGACTCCCAGTCTATGAACCCACTTCAGCCACTCCTCCTCTCACCCTGCAAAACCTGCTACACCTTGGAGTCTTGGAGCTGTACGGGGTGGCCAAATTTTCCCATGTCCCGTCCACATTTCCCCCCTTGTTAAATGTTACTCTCGAGTGAGGTCTCTCAGCATCCCATGTGAAGGCAACCTCACTCCATCATCCTGTCCTGGCACGTGTTTTCTTTTGTGACGCATTTCCCAGGAACCTCACTCAGTTCCCTTCTTGGTCTCCTTGCCTGCACACCACTCTCATCTGTGCCCCCGTGTATTTCTTTGACCTCTGCTGGCTCTCTGATAGCTTTGTGTGAGTTCCTGATAAGTCTCCGCAGACTCATGGTAACCGCAAGACCATGAATGTTCTCTAGTCCCATATCATCGTCTGGGTCTTCGGTGTGGGGGAGCCCACAACTGCCCCCATTGTATGGAGCCTTCCAACCTCGGAGCCTCACCTTCCAACCTATAATGTTGTTGTTAGTTGCTAGGGAGCCAATTCTGACTCATAGTGACGTTACAGGGCCGTAGTGCGCCATATTGGAAAAAGTCCTGCTAAGACAGGTCAACACTCAATAAACTATTCTTGACTATGGAGGGCGGGGCACAGAAAGAAATCGTTCCTCCAGGGCTCTTTTTCCTGAGTGTAACTCTGGATTTTCCTCTCTTCCTGGGCTTCTATCTCTAGGGTATGGTGACACTGTAGGTTAAGCTTTGGGCTGTTACTGAACAGTGGTTGAATGCACCAATGGCTCCTTGGAAGAAAGATGATGCAATCTGATCCTGTCATGGTTTACAGCTTTAGATGTCCCGTAGGAAAGGTCCACTTTGCCCCTTAGGGGTCGCTTCGAGTTGGAACCAACTCATCAGTGTTTTTTGTGCTTTTAGGGGAGTCTTTGTGAGCCCTGGTGGTCTAGTGGGTAAGGAGTTGCTCCAACAATCCAAAGGCAGGTGGTTTGTAGCTCCACAGGACAGAGGCGGGCAGTCTCCTCCCGTTAGATTTACAGCCTCTACACACCCACTGGGAGGGCTCAACTACAAGCTGGCTCTGACATGACGGTACATAACAACACAAGTTACCACCTCTGTGTGTGTGTTGGCATTTCACAGACTTCCGATGCGTGCATCTCTGTCAATCTCTCGTGTTTCTTCTTGCTGAATGATCTTCCTGTTTCTTTGCTTTCTTCTTTACATCCTTTTTACTCCATCTGCCTCCTTTACCATTGTCTGTCTCCTCCGTCCTCCTTTCCCTCCCCCTGCCCCACCTTCTCCTCCCACCTCTCTCTTATTCCGTGCTTGGCTTTTGGACTCTAGAAGCCACTATCCTGTTCTCCCAAAGAACCCACCACCACCAAATCTACTTCGGTTGACCCCACTTCTACCAGTTCCTCTTCCATCTATTTCTGTCCTTTGGTGGTTCAGTGGTAGACCTCCTGCCTTCCAAGAAGAAGTCACTGGTTCAATCCCTGGCCAGCGCACCTCAAGCAAAAGCACCGGCCATCTGTCAGTGGCGCTTCTGTAATGTTGCGAGGCTGAAAACATTTCAGCAGAGCTTCCAGGCTAAGGATTAAGAAGGAAGGCTGTGGATCGACTTCCAAACAATCAACCAAAATAAAAACTGACCCACGAAGGCCCGGTCCCCACCTGATCACGGAGATGGTCCAGCGACACAGATAGGGTTTTCATTCTGTTGGGCATGAGGCTGTCACACATGGGGTGGGAGGGAGTAGGTGACTCAATGGGGGCCAATGAGAACTGTGATCTGCGTATTGGGGCCTCATAGCATCATCTGGAGCTCACATGAAGTCCTCTGTCTTGCTCTTTGGCTGCCTTTCCTACATTTTCCAGCATTTCTCCCCGTGACTGAATTTCTCTCAGGTCTCTGGACCTTGAGTCTCCCTTTTGAGTCTATCCACAAGGGGCCCCAATTAAGCTCCTGACATCTAGTTACTATCTGCCCCCTCCTCTCTGGTACCCTTTGATGTTGCCCCTACATTCTAGGATAAAGGCTCATGGACTCCCTGAAAACATGGCGCTGTGGGGAACCACTTCTGTCCCAGTCACTTGTCTCTGTCATCTGTGTCTGTCCTCTCACCAGACCAGAGGTCCCTAGAAAGTGAGGCATCACCCTCCCCTTCCCCAGCATGGTCAAACACAGGGTTTGCAGCACAGGCAATATCAACAACACTGTTATTGTTGTAGAACTGTCAAGTCAGAACGGACCCACAGCTGACCTTCCTATGGGCCCTCAGAGGCTGTAAATGGCACATAAGGAGACTGTCCGTTTTTCTCCCGTGGAGCATGTGGTGGATTCGAACCATGTCTCTTTGGGTTGGCAGTGCAGTTCTTTACCACTAAGCCACCAGGGCTCCTTAGTCAGAGGTACTACTGCCCTTTCTTTTGGAGTTGGGCTGTTAACCCAAAGGTCAGAGGTTCAATATCAGCAGCTGCCCATCAGGTAAAAGAGAAGAGACAGTCTGTCTTGTAATGATTTACAGCCTCCCAAACACTATGGGGCAGTTCTTTTGCGTTCTGCAGGCTCGGCGAGCTTCAATGGCCTTCATATGCAGCCCCTGCTTTCTGCCCCCAAGGGTCCACAGCCCCAGCTCAACTGTCAGCCTCTCACATCTACTCCACGGCATAGGCTCCTGGTTCATCCTTTCCCCAGGACCCAGGGAGCCCCTTTTAATACCTGTGTCTTTCCTTGCTCTTCTTCTGCTCCCTGTCTCCCCACCTCACAGCTTCCCATTGCCCTTGATGTGGAGTCCAGAGCCCTCAGCCCAGAACTGGAGGACCTCCAGACTCGGGTGTGTGTCCCTGTGTCCTCACCGCTCACCTCCCCTTCCCCACTTCAGCATCCCAGAACTATCAGCACTATTCACAATACAGGGGCACCGTGTCACTCCCCTGGGGACCTTTGCCCAAGCTGTGTGGTGTCATGGACGTCTTCCTCAGCCCCCTTCCCCACCCGGCCACCTCCTGTTCATCCTTTTACAACTCCAAAGGGACCCCACGTTCTCTAGGAAGTTTCTCCCAAGTTCTTCCCACTCCCAGCAGATGGGTCACTCTGCCCACTGGACTCCAAGGTGCCTTGTGGTGGGAGCAGTTAACAACAGACTCCCAGCTTCAAGGTGGCTGGTTCCAACTCACCCAATGGCCCTGCTTCTGTAAAGATCAAACCCACCCCAGCTTTGGATCCAGTCAATTCCACCCATATTGATCGAGCTCCCACCACCTTGAACTTTCCAAGGGCAAATCTTCACAGAAGTAGAGCCCCTTTTCTTTCACCCCTGGCTCAAACTGTCCAACTTCTAGTTGTTGTTGAATACCAGAATTGACTCATAGCTGACCTTCCAGAGGCAGCAAATTCTACAGGAGATCACCCATCCTTCTATGGAGCAGCTGTTGGATTCGAACCTTATTCCTTTGGGTTGGCAGCCCAATTCCTTACCACGAGGTCACCAGAGCTCCTTTCTTTCTGATTGTTGTTGTTGTCTTTGAGTCAAGCTTGACTCACAGCGACCCTATGAAAAAATGGCCTGAAGCCCCTCTATAACTATTTAATCAAAGTTCATAGGGTTCCCAGAGGCATGTTGTTTAGGAAGTGGATGCCATCCCTGCTTCCAATCTTTCTGGTTGGCGGGTGGATATTTTAACCACCATGCCACCAGGATGCCTGCTGTAAAGATTCCAGCCAAGCAAAGTTCACGTTGCTCTTCCCCTCCGCAGAACGCAGGCTGCCCCAAGTTGGGTGTTGCGGCTCCAGCATTGATGACCCTGGTTTGTCCCTGTCAACATTCAGTAATGACTACAGCCCACGTTCCCGGAGTGCATCCTGCTTTCCCTTCGGGGGTTCTGAGCTCCCACTCCCCTGCCCTGGGTGATGGACATGGTGAAAGCACTCAATTGCTATCGGAAAGGTTGGTGGTTCAAGTCCACTCGAAGAGCTCAGGAAGAAAGGCTTTGCTGTCAATAGCCTACAGGTTTCACCCACAGAGAGCGGTTCTGCTCTGCGGTGAGTCGGAGTCCACTCCACAGCAATGGGGTTTTGACAAGTGGGGGGCTAAATGAGTGAGCAAAACAGAAAGCCCTCCATGCCCTCTGTTCACCCATCGCTGTCTGGTCTGTCCTAACTCACAGCGACCCCATGAGGACACAGGGCCCCTGCCCGGCAGGGCTCCCAACGCTGCTGTAATCGTTCTGTGTCATCTTTCTCTCAAGAAGCAACGGGTGGGTTTGAACCACCGAGCGGTGCGGTTAGCTGCTGGGTGCTTTGTTCACTGTGCCACCAGGGCTCGGGAGCCTGGAGGAAGTTGGCCCTTTAAACACCTTCCTGACCCCTCCGCCCGGATGGAGACCAGTGGGTTGGAGCCCCCCCCCCCCCCGGGTTTCTCCCATACACTGTAGGCGCGCTGGGGGCTCTAGAGTGGACGCCAACATCCCGTGAGCCCGCGGGGTGGCCTCCAACAGCGCCCACTGCGCTATCGTCTTCAGGGAAGCTGCTCAGATCACCAACGCGTCTCCCCTGCGGATGCAGAGCGCACCTAACCCACTCGCCTTTCTGTTAGCTGTCCAGTGCTTAAACCGCGGAGCCCCCAGAGCTCCTACACTGTTTCTGTAAATCAGTGTTAGATTAATGCCCAGTTCCTGCGCAGGATGCAAGCTGTAGGGGCCTAGTCGGTTTCCTTCCCTTTCCATCAGTACTGGGCGCCTCCACTGGGGTGCGCCCTAAATCCGCAGCCCTGGCTGGCTGACTGTGGCCTTGGCGCACGGCTGCCTTACACCACGGACCGCACCGAGTAAGGAGCTAGAGGGTCGGTCTTGGATGAGATAGACTCAGGGCGCCCCTCTGGGACTCTAGGATGGTGGGATTTCATCTCGCTAACTGGGGACGGCTCAAGGAGGGACCAAGGGGTAGAATAAGACGAGGAGGACGATCCTCGTGAAAGAGACAGTGAGGGGCGCCCTGAGGGAGGTGGATAGACACGGTGATGTGACAATGAGCGTGACCATGGGGATGGATGGGCAGGGCTGGGGCATGGACCCGCTGATTCATGGCACCTGGCGTCGATGAACGAATGCACGCGTCCCTCTCTGTGCCTGGGTCTCTGCGGTCCCCTCCCCAGGGCCAGTCCCTAGCAGGTGATGGACACATCTCTGTGTGAACGCAACCGTGACAGTAGGCACGCGTTCCCCAGGCAGCGTGCCCACCGCTCCCATCTCTTCTCTCCCGCAAACTTCTGCACGCGTGTACATAGAGTTTGTAGATAGAACTATATATGAGGGCGCTGGTAGAACTCTCTCCAGGAGCCGGGCTGAGCTGGGGGGGGGG